AGACCACTTCTCAGTTTTTTTTTTTTGCCTTTGGGCATTTGTTAGCCCCCTACTATGTTTCTTTAATACTGCATATGGTGAGATCATATGTGTCTGCTCTGATCCTTAAGCTAACTTCACTCAGCATGATAATCTCAAAATACATCCAAGGAGCAGAAAATTGCATGATTTTGTCTTTTCTTATAGCTGAACAGTATTCCATCATGTACCAAATAATAGTATTTCAGATGTACCAAAGTTTCTTGATCTAGTTGTTTGTTCCTGGACCTTGGATTCTAGATACTGGGTATTGTGAACAGTGCTGCAATGAACATAGGAGTGGGAATGTCTCTTCTGAATAGAATTTTTGGGTCTTTGGCATAGATGCCAAGAAGGGGAATTCTGGATCATATGGAAACTCAATCCCAGCTTTTTGAGAAGGGTCCACTGTAGCACTGTCCTCTCATTGTTCATCGATTTGCTTGAGTGGGCCCAGTAATGTCTCCATTATGAGACTTGTTGTTACTGTGTTTGGCATATCGAATATGTCACGGGGAGCTTGTCAGACTTTGCCGCGCTGGCGAGATACCCTTGGTAGCTTGCCAGGCTCTCTGAGAGGGGCAGAGGAATCGAACTCGGGTTGACCGGGCTGGCAGCATGCAATGCAAATTAAAAAAGCGGTGGACCCAGTTGAGATTCTCATCAGCAGTGATGTTTTTCCCCTTTATCCTTGCCAACACTCCCCACCCGCACCCCCTTTGTGACATGTGCCAATCTCACCTGTGTGAGATGATACATCGCTTATGTTTTGATTTGCATTTCCCTGATAATGAAGGTTACAGAGCATTTTTTCATATAACTTTTGATCATTTGTATGTCTTCCTCGAGGATATTTTTGTTCATTTCTTCCCTCCACTTATTGATGGGGGTTGGTTTCCTGTTTTTATTTTTTCATCGAAAGTTCTACTGGTGCTTTCTATGTTTTGGATATTAATATTAGATGAATTGTGGACTAATATTCTACCCTAGTCTGTTTTTACTTCTGTTTATTTTTATCCCTTTTTTTGTGGTTCAGAAGTTTCTTGTTTTAATGTAGTCTCATTTGTTTATCTTTTCTTCAGTTAGTTTGGTCAGTGGAATTGACTCACTGAAAATATTTTTTGCTTCAGTGCTATAAAGTGTTCTACCTATGTTTTCCTCAATGTAATTTATAGATTCAGGTCTGATATAATCTGTTTTCTTTTCTTTTTCATTTGATTTTTATTTAGTTCTTAAAAGGGGTCTGAATTAAAAGTACATACAAAGCACTGAGACTATAGCAGTTGTCCAGATAGATCAAATCCTGCTCTTACAGAGAAATGAACAGATCACTGTAATACATCATAATTATGAATACAATTAATGAATTATAATACCATAATTCTTAAACATGAAGAGATCCATATAAATTTCAACAGTGTTCAATCTATATCTCTTGAAAATGTCTTGGGTATTTTTTATCTCATTTGTTTTATTATTTGTATATAATAATAATAATAATTGTATATAAAATGTTTATATACTTCTGTGCACTGATTTTGTATCTGCCACTTTATTGTACAAGTCTATTATTTCTGGGAACTTTTTATGTAGAGCCTTTAGGGTTTTTTGAAGTATAGTATCAGGCTATCTGTAAATAGTGATAATTCAACTGTTTTTCAAATCTTAATGCCCTTACTATCGCTCTCTTGCCTAACTGTCATGACAAGGGCTTCAAGTACTAAATTAATGATAGTGATGAGAGTGAGAAGCTTGTCTTGATCTGATCCTAGAGGTAAGACCCAGTTTTTCACTGTTGGGTTTGATGTTTGCTGTGAGCAAATGGCTTTAACTATCTTGAGGAAAATTCCTTCATTCCACATTTTATTGTTTTATCATGAATGATTATTGAAATGAATTATTCTTGTAGAGGAAAAAATGAATAATCAGTTATACTAACTTTGTTGAGGTCTAAGGAAAAATCAGATTTGAGTACTCTGTCAAGGAACCTGGCTTTGGAAAGGGGTCAGAGCACATTTCAAATTGTGGTCATACCTGAGATTGCTTTTTTATTTTTTTAAATTTATTTTTAATTATTATTATTATTTTTTTTGCTTTTTGGGTCACACCCAACCCATGCTCAGGGATTACTCCTGGCTCTGCACTCAGGAATTACTCCTGGCGGTGCTTGGGGGACCATATGGGATGCTGGGAATCGAACCCGGGTCGGCTGCGTGCAAGGCAAACTCCCTACCTGCTGTGCTATTGCTCCAGCCCAGAGATTGCTTTTTTAAAACCCACAAAAAGTGGACAACGTGAGAGCATATGTTCAACAGAGAGACCTAGTTAGGAAAAGTAGCTGGTGAGATGTACTTAGCACTTTGGTAATAGAAGAATTGGATACCGGGAAGTGGCAAATGCAAGGATGTGTGACCTAGGAGCCCTTGCACACTCTATTCTGCAAATGTGCCATAGTTCTGCCACACCCATCAATTTCTAAATAGAACTGTGCTAGCAGGGAACAAATGATTGAATACAGGAATTAGCAATACAGTTTTTTTATTATTTTATCACTTAATTATGGTCCTAAAGAACTGTACGCTTTTTTTTAAAGCCTTATAATGCTATGGTTTAATAAGTTATACTCACATGGAAATAGTAGATTTTATTATCCCTTATGTGGGAAAACCACATTATTTTTCCCAAGGGTATAATTCTGTCTTCACTATAGATGCAATCTCTATATAATCATATAAAAATCCAAACAAATATTCTTCTATGTCTTCTAGAGGAGCATGGGGAGGAAGATCTACTTCTTTGTTCAATTTTATTTTTTAAAATTTAAGTGTGCTATAAAGGAAGTCGGGAAGTAAATATGTATATAAAAGTAACCTGAGATGGAGACTGGAATGACCACTGCAAATGTCATCCTATCTCCAAAGCAAATGCTTATGCCAGCTAAGATTCTGACCCTTGAAAACAGGATAACTCCAATGCATCTTCTTTTTATATAGACCTTTTAATACCTGTTTTTCATTCCAGACTCAGAGGTCTGCAGGCATCTGCATCATCTAGTGCAGAGATTTTTTTCTTTGTTATCTTGTTAATAGGAATGGAAATTGAAGGATTAATGCAAGCTACAAATAACCAGAAACTCAATTTTAGTTAATAGATCAAATCATCCACTTATTAGTAATATGTCCTTCCACTTCTTAGTAATTTGGGCATATTTCTAATATTTCTGAACATCAGTTTATTCCACTCTAAAAATAAGTCATAATAATATCTACCTCAGAGGAGTGTTATGAGTATAAAATAAGTTAATAAATGTAAAATATTTATAATCATGCCTGATCATAGCAATTACCCAGTATGTGGCAGGTATTATTACTGATTGCTATATTTTTTTCTGCTACTCAAAGAATTTTAAAAACAGGCTAGTTTTGACCATACTCAGTGGTGCTGAAGGCTTACTCTTGACAGCACTCAGGGAACCATATGTCCTTCTGAGGATTAACCCAGTTAAGCCAGTTGCAAGGCAAATACCTTGATTCTTGTTCTATCTCTCCAATTCCCAGAACACTTTTGAGATACAAAATGTCTTTACTAAATGTTCTTTATTATCATGTTTTCTTCCAATTGTCAGAATTAAAATAAAGGAAACAGAGGAGAAGAAATGAGCAAAGGGTTAAATAATAGTCATACAGGATAGTCCAGACTAGAATAATCTCCTTTCTTATAGAAGAATGAAAGTCTCTCATTTCCTGTTGACTATTTGAGATTATTGCTCCCCAAAAATCTGATGTATCATTAAAATGATAATTTTCTCCAGTAACGTTGTTTTTTAAAATTTTTTTAACTCTTTTTTATTGCTGTGACCTTGCTGCCTTCACAGTGCTTGTTATGGTTGTACAATATGCACAGAATAAAAGATGGAAAGACTCTCATTTTATTTTATTTTACATTATTTTAAGTGGAATTGGGCTGCAGACTATGACATTGCAGTGCTCATAGTCTTTTCCTAGTTATGTGCTCAGAAGAAACCCTTGGTAGAGTTCAGAGAACCAAAAAGGGGCCAAGAATGAACTGTATTGGCCACATGAGAGGCAAATACCTCACTTCCTGTACGATGTCTCTGGACATTTCTATTTTTTAAAGTAGGATTTAATCTTCAAACAAACATAATTTGCACTGCAATATTAAAGATCTTTGTAAAGTGAATTTTTGCCTCATTATAACCCAGGCAAACATTTCAAAATCAAATTAAACTATTTATTTCCCATATCTTTCACACAATTTAGCTCAGGCTCAGGAGATTGACTGGAGGAGAGCTTCCTGGAGACAGATCATGGCTGAATCATCTGAACTTCTTGGGTGCAAATATTGGTTTTCCCAGTTTCTACCTAAGTTAATTTGAGCAGGTTACTTACCCTGACCACTTATTTTACTTTATCTGCAAAATGAAGGAAACAGTTCCTGTTTTTCATAAGGATGTTGTGAGAGTTAAATGAGTTTATATCCGTAAAGCACCAAGAATTGTGGTTGGACTGCTAAAGCATTGAAGAATGCTTTGTCAACAATTAAAAGTAACCTTATTTTCCAATTTGATGCGATTTATATTTCTTACCTTCTAGAATTAGTACAAGGATAATGGTCTATGATAAACACTTCAAAAATTTTATCAATACTATTTATACTTGGGAATTATTATTTCTGTCTGCTGCTTTGAGATTTCAGATCCTAATTTAATCTATCTTTTAAAGTCTTGTTGATTCTCCCTTACCTTTCACCAGTACAGTTTTTTTCTCCCCACCCAGTGTTTGTCCTGTCATTTTGCCTTGCGTCATTCACGCTTTTTGCATGGCGTACTCCTCAGGATAGGACTTTGTTCTTTGTTTTGGCATAAAATGATAACACTAGGTACACTCATGGTCCTATAAAAATGTTAAAGAAAAAAAAGAAGGAAAAAGTTGCAATTCTCCAAGAGGAAACGTAGGCCAACAGCTGGCCAGGCTTCCCTCTGTTTGCAGTGCTGCAGGACACTCAGAAGCATCTCCAGTGGCTGCTGGGAGCTGATGGCTCTTGGGTGACACTTGTGTCCTGCACAGCCCTTGGGGCATGTGTAGGCCAACAGGAGAATGAACTGGGCCCTGGCTCTCAGGGAGGATCTCAGGAGACTGCGCTTTGGGGACACTTCACTGCTCACAGGTTTGCCTATTTTTCATGAAACTTCATTTAGATGGACCACGGGAGTGAGTGCAATGAATTGGGGAGAGGTGGCAAAGAACTGTAAAAAAATAGGGCAGAGGGAAGTGTTCATTAAGGAACAACGCTCAGGGGACCGTCTCTGTTTTAAGAATTGTCTGCATACTGCACGGGACTACACATGTTATGGTCTGACATGCTGGATTGTTTCCAGGTGGGAATAACATGGCATATGTATGCAGAATGTTCTTGGAAACTTTTTGACCACACTGACCTCCACTGTTGAAGTGACATACTTAGAAATGCTTGCTTTCAGCCTTTGTGAATGCCTGAAAAGCAACCAAATAGTTCAGGCCATTGCATAAAAGGAGTGACTTTATTATAGACTTAAGAACATATTTCATTAGCATTTTTCTCCTGTTTGTTTTTGAAGAAATTCTTTAGTAACAGTACACTTAAACGTATATCTGACTTAAAATATCAGTTTCTATGCTATACTTAATTATACTTGCTTTCCAGAAGAGTCCATGTTATTAATATATATTTAACATTTTGAATTTGAAGTAATTGTCTATTACAAGAAATTGTAAAGATAGTACAGAACCCCATATACCTTTCCCCAATTTTGTTCTAGTGATTCTATTAGACATCATTTTAATACAATAACATGGCCAGAGAATTGACACTGGCATAATAATTTTTATATCATTTTATCACATGCATATATATTTGTGCAACCATGCCACAAACAAAGTATTTCCATAGCTGCTAAGATCACCTTTACACTGCTCCCTTATCATCGTACACACCTGTTCCTCCCTAATCTAAATATTCCCCATCATTTTGAGAATGTTACATCAATGGTATCAGAATAAATGCTGTGTTTTCAAGACATATTTTTTATTCACTACAATGCTCTTGGATTTCATTCAAATTTTAGCAATTGGTCTTTTTTCTTGCAAATAGTATTAGTCCAGTTGCTTGATAAATTGCATTTAATGATATATACATACATATATACTCATCACAAAAATATACATATACGTATATCTTTGATAGACTTATAGCTTCAGTAGGATTAAAGAGATAGAGAATATTTATGAGGTGAAAAGTGTGAGGACATAATTTGAATAAGACTAGACCCTTCCGAAACTGGCTCAGAAAAATGCATCACCTTTGAACCGTACCTTGAGGGTACTCAGCCTCTTTCTTTAGTCAGTACCCATCAGAGAGAAAAGTATCTAGTATGATTTAAAAGTGTTTAAAATACTCTCTTTAAGCCTTTCGGGTCTCATACCGTGAACTTTAATACTCAATTTACAAAAGAACACAAACATTCAGTGTGGAACCCTCGTTAGCCTCAATATAATGGAAGGAACAAAGTCTCTGTTTTAGTGATTTCCTTAAAAGGAAAAAATTTTAAATATCACAAACCATCCTAGAGAATGGAATATAAGTAGGGTGTGCTAATTATATAAAGGAACGTCAAAGCTAAAAGTATTTACAATTATTTGTAGAAGCAAATCTGTTTTCTGAGTCATTTAAAATAGAATAAAATGTCATCATTCTGTCATTATGATTTATTTTATTTTATGTCCACTCTGGGTATGGCCTGAGTTCTTTGGTGCCATTATTTCCTGTGTGTGGACCATAGGTTCCACAGTATATGGTAGGCCAGGTAACCTCTGCCCCGTAATCTTGAAGGAGTGCATGCTTGGCTGTAAATCAGGGACCTGAACAATAAGTCCACTGACTCATTTTCCTCTCCTGTATGATATTGTTTACTTACTTACTTGACTAATGATAAAAGCCATCAGGGAGGTCTGATATGAAATGTAACACAGGCAGTTGCTCCCAACAATGCGGGCATTGTGATTTACTTTGGGTGGGCAGGGCTCTCTACTGGTGCCCAGAAGTTCTGGCGGTCCCATCAGGGATTAGTTAACTGGGTAATCAGTTTAATCCATGAATCCAAGAATGTGACACTGCTCAAGCCTGATGGTGCTGGACTTGATACTGGTGCTATCTAGAGGTGCTCAGGTTTGGGGAGCAGTATCCAGGACTATACCTAGTGATACTTGGGGGACCATGTGGTGCTGGAAGTTGAACATGGTGGGGTACATGTTAGGCATTGATCTTAACCATTGAGCATCTCCCAGCCATACAAGCATTATACCTTTAAGGGCCATAGGTGGGTTTGTTTGTTTTTTGAATTTCTGCTTTAAAGAAAATAAGTAGATCTTTTCTGGAAGAAAGTAAAACAAAAATACCTATGTACTATATCAACATAAGCAATACAAATAATTTCATAATATGTAAGTGATATTTGCTCTTTAAAGAATGAAACTAAATATAAAGCTCTATTTACATTTTTCATATGATCCCATGTATATGTATATACATATATAAAACATCTTCATAATCTTTTCATTTGTTGTTGGATATCTAGGTCAATTACTTATCTTAGCTGTTGTACTGAGTACAAGAATAATTAATGGTGTGCATATAACCTTTTGAGAGATTGTTTTTATGTCCTGGGGTTAGATGCTCTAAAGTTGAATTGCTGGGTAATATGGACATTCAATTCTAAATTTAATGAGAACTCTCCGTATTTTTTTCCATAGGGCATGTACCAGACAACTTCCCACAAGCAGTGGATGAGAGTTCTTTTTTCACCACATCCCTGCCAATACAAATTGTTTCTACTATTCTTGATATGTATCATTCTCATAGGAGTAAGATGGTATCTCATTGTCTTGATTTGGATTTTGGATTTCTCTTGATTATGATGACAAGTGATTCTGAGCATTTTTCATATGCCTACTGCCATCCATCTGTCTTCCTCTGAGATGTGTCTATTCATTTCCTCTCCCATTCTTTGATAGGAGTTTTGATTTGTTGCTGTTGTTGTTGTTGATCTTGGTGAGAACCTTATATATCCTGGATATCAAACCTTTATCTGATGTATTGAATGCAAATATTTTTCCATTCAGTAATCTGTTTTTTAGTTTTAGCCCGTGTTTACTTTGCCATGCAGAAATTCTTTAGTTTTTTGTAGTCCCATTTGTTTATTTTTTATTTTGTTGCTTTTGACAGTGTTATCAGATCACTGAAGATGCTTTTGAGGGCCCCGTCTTGAAGCGCTCTGTCTGTATTTTCCTCAGTGAAATTTGTAAAAAAAATTTGTAATTTGTAAAAATTTGAAATTTGTAAAAAAAAAATTTGTAGCTTCTGGTTGGATCTCATGGTCTTTGATCCACTTTGAATTGGTATTAGGTGTTATATATGGATCCAGCCTTAATTTCATACACATAGTTATCCAGTTTTCCCAGAACCATTGGTTGAAGAGGCTATCTTTACTCCATTTCATGTTCTCAGCTCCCTTATTGAAAATTAGCTGTCCATATATATGGGGTTTTGTCCTTGGGTATTCGATTCTGACACATTGATCAGTGGGCCTAGCCTCATTCCAGTACCACGTAGTTTTTATCACTGTAGCTTTATAATACAATTCCAAATCAGCTAATGAAATACCCACCAAATTCTTACTTTTCAGTATTTCTTTGGCTAGTCACTGTCTTTTTTTTTTTTAATAATTCCATACAAACTTTTTTATTGACCTTTCTAGATCCTTTAAGAATACTGTCTGCATATGGACGGGGATTGCATTGAATCCATATAATAGTCTAGTTTGGGTAGCACTGTAGGACTATAGCACTGGAGTCCCATTGTTCATCGATTTGCTTGAGCGGGCACCAGTAACGTCTCCATTGTGAGACTTGTTGTTACTGTTTTTGGCATATCGAATACTCCCCGGGGAGCTTGCCAGGCTCTGCTGTGCTGGTGGGATACTCTCGGTAGCTTGCTGGGCTCTCTGAGAGGGATGGAGGAATAGAACCCGGGTTGGCCGTGTGCAAGGCAAACACCCTACTCGCTGTGCTATCTTTTAATAATATTGATTGTTCCAATCCATGAGTATGGAATAATTTTCCATTTCCTAAGGTCTTCTATCTCTTTCTTAAGTGATTCAGTGTTATTATGGTATAGATCTCCCATGACTTTTGTTAAGCTGGTTCCTAGATAGTTGATGTTTTTGCATACTATTTTTAATGGGATAGACTTCTTGATTTCTTTTTTTTCTGATTCATTCTCTTTGTATAAGAATGTGACCTTAATTTTTTGCATTGACTTTGTAGCCAGACACTTTGTTGAATTGATTTATTGTTCCTAGGACCTTTTTTTGTGTGTACTCCTTAGGGTCTTCTATGTATATAATAATGTCATTTGCAAATAGTGATAATTTTAGTTCTTTTCCAATTTGCATCCCTTTGGTCTTTTTTTGCCTGATTGCAGAAGTCAGGATTCTAATACTATTTGAATTAGAGGGAGAGCGTGGACATTCTTGCCTTGTACATGATCTCAGAGGGAACTCTTTAGGTTTTTACCATTAAGGATGTTACCGGCTGTGGGCTTGTTGTAGATCGCCACCATTCTTCTCTTGAGGAAGGTTCCTTCCACCCCTAAATTGTTCATAATTTTTATCATGAATGGATGTTGGATCTTCTCAAAGGCTTTTTCTACATCAATTGATATGATTACATGATTTTTATCTTTCTTTTTACCAACATGATATGTTATGTTATTTAATTTGCAGATGTTGAATCAAATCACCTTGCATCTCTGAGATGAATCCTACTTGATTAAGGTGCATGATATTTTTGTTATGTTGAAGGATTTGGTTAAATAAGATTTTGTTAAGTATTTTTGCATCAATATTCATAAGTGAGATTGATTGAAATTTTCTTTCCTGGAAGTGTCTCTGAATGCTTTAGGTATTAGTGTAAAGATAGTTTAATTATAAAATAGCATAATATGAGACTAATACTCAGGACAATAGAGACAAGGGCCAGGAATATTTTACCACAGTTCGAAGCCTGCCTTATGACCTGGAGGAGAAAGCAGCTGGGATAAGGAAAGGATCACTAAGGCAATGATGGTTGGAG